AAAAAAAAAAAAAAAAAAAAAAAAAAATTGTAATATTTTACATAAATTGACACATAATAAGATTTATATAATTAGTTAAAGTATGTATTAATATATATTTAAATTGAAATACATACAAATATAAATTTTAGTAATTATTATTTAATATTTCCATCTTTTAATTTTTAAATATTATATTTTTAAGATTTAAAAAATTGTACCTTAATTTTTGTTTATTTTTTTTTTATATTTTATTTTATTCTATTTTTTTTTTTTTTTTTTTTATTTTATTTTTTTTTTTTTTTTTGGTTTGAATGTTTTCTTCAATCTTATAGCATTTATATGAAAACAGAGAACTACACAGTATTTTATAATTATAAATAATTATATTTTTTTTTTTTTATTTTCTAAATATGATCGAAGTTATATATTTTAGCCAATTTTTTTGAAAAAAAAAAATGAAAAAGAATATGAGTTAATTAGTACTATCATAAAAAAATACAAGTATTATTTTTAATTTTGAAAATTTTTCGTTGTTGTACACATAAAATAGATTTTTGTAAAAAAGATAAAAATAAATAAATGTGATTTAATATGAATAAATAGATTTAATTTCTGAAGCTAGTTTCATTTTATTGTTATTAAAAAAACACCATTTCTCTTATAATTATATTTTAATCTATAAAAATATTAAAGTATCTTTATAGCTTATAAAAAAAAATTTCTTAAAAAAAAATTAAGTGTAATTATAATTTTTATACGTAAAACTTTTTTAAAAAAATTTGATTATTTTAATTTTCCATTATATAAGAACAATACTTTAAAAAAGATATATATATATATATATATATATATATATATATATATATGAATTGAATAAATTGTTTTTATTATAATAAAACATTAATATTTATATTTTTCATTTCAATATTTAGACTTTTTATCCATTTAAAAAAAAAAAAAAGAGTGAATTACATATTAGCATATAATATGTTATTTATTAATATTATTGTACAAAAATAACAAAGTTATATATGTAGTGTATTTTATTGTATTAAAAATTTACACTATATATATATATTTTTTTTTAAAAAGATTTACATATTTTTTTTAAATAAATAAACACACCATGAATTCTCAATTTAAAAACTCGCAGAAGAATATTACACTAAATTTTAAAATTGTGTACTTACTACATCGTTTTTTACTTTTGTTAAAATAAATAATCTTTTTATTTTTTTCCATTATTTCTTTTTTTTAAAGTATCATTTTTTTTTTTTCGTTTTTTCTTTTGTAAAATTCATCATAAAATATTTTTTTAATATAACAGCGAAAATATTTTCTTTAATAAAAATTTTTGATAAATTTCTATGATTTAAATAAAAGCTCTGTAGAATTAATATTAACTTTTTTTAGAAATATTTTCTAATTATTTTTAAAAATAACTAAATTATATTGTACTTTTTTAACATAACATATAGGATATACCTTTTCTTTCTAAAAAAAAAAAACATTTTTTATATTAATTTTTTTTCCATTATTATATCTTTTTATTTTATTATTTTTTCTTTTCTTTTTTTTTTTTTTTTTTTTTTTA